GGGGAAGGGGTGGTCCAATCGTGTTAATTTTGGCTTTCCGCTTCACAAAGGTGGCAGTGGGGTCATTCGGAGGACTTTTTGGTTTTTTTGTTTTTTACAATATTTTGTGGTATAGCAAAGTTTTCACATCTCAGAATTATTTTTTTTTTTCTTTTTAAACTTTATCGTGCCTTAAGTAGTAGGAAATAAAGATATCGAAAAAGAAAACAACATTTGCAAAACCACGTAATATTGTAAAACAAAAAAAGACGGGACTTACCTGAGCCCCTAACAGGGCACTCGGGTCTGCAGCGGAGGTCTGTGGTGGGTGTGACATCGCCAGCACAGTGCATGCCGGGGCATCGCACAGAGAGGCGGCCAGCGAGCCTGGGCTTTGCCGAACTTGAAAAGGAAAACAAAAGCTAAGTCAATGATGTGCCCCGAGCCCCTTCCTAACCTGCTGCTATGCGGGACATCCAGCACAGGAGTCTGCGGGAGGGGGGAGGGCAGGTGGTGGCACTGAGGGTGCCACAAGGCACCAGAGGTAAGGAGCTGGACGCCTACCACGCGACTCACACCTCTCCAGCATCCAAATGTACATTTCAGCGGCGGAGCACGAATAGTCTGACCATCAGAGAGCACCTCTGGGCTCCTGCTCTGCTGAAGATCTGGCTGCTTATCTTTAGGTCCCCAAGTGCATGTTTTTGCACCTAGTTCTAAACCCCAAGCTTTATGGTCAAAGCCTTTCCTCTGGTTCTCTTTCTTCTCCTCTGTAACTACTCAACCCTCCTGAAGACCTGTAGATGAAAAGCTCTATGCAGAAAGCCCATTAGATGAAAATGAAGGCAGCAGTTAATTCCTACATCTTCAGAAAGGAACAATGTTCTGAAAAAAGGAACAATTGTCTGCCAGGCTCTGACCACCGTCACCTCCAGCTGAAGCATAAAAGACTCCCCAATATTCAACCAAAGCAAAGTGATGGTTCATAAAGCTGAACACACACACACACACACGCGTTTATCAGCGTGATCCATTCCGGGATGGGCAACAATGACTGTTTTGTTGTTGCGAGGCATTTCTGGGAATTTTCCTTTATTCCTGGTTCAATGTGTGTTAGGTTTTGGTTTTTGGTTTGGTTTGGGGTTTTTTTTGATACAGACTCATTCTCCCCAGTTTCTACAGCAGAGCATGACTTGCGTTACGCCCCATTCCAGCAATCAGATCAGTGCATGCAGATCTCGGCCCACGCAGTGTCCCGCTGACTCCAGAGGTCTCAGGCCAAGCGGATCCAACTGCAGGACCAAGACCTTAACCGTGAGCTCCAACATCTACGCACCGGGCTAGGACTCGGTGTTTACAAGGCAATGCAGACAGGACCTGCCTTTGCTCTTTTGGTTTGGTTGGTTTTATATGTTCAGTAATCCCTCATCTTTTTTTTTTCTATTTTATTTTCTTACCTCATCTTTTATATTAAATCGCGATGGTTCTTGTCTGCTTCGGTTTGACCTCCTAACCCCATAAACATCAGGATATTCTTCCCACATCTGCAAAATAAACAGACCATCAGAAGGCCTGCTTCACCCCCGTTATTTCTGACATTTTAGCGAAGTTTGATGGCAAATGGTTTTTTTTAAAAAAAAAAATCAACATAAAACGATTATGGAATCAGCAACCAGTATATGGATTCATTAAAAAACTGGCTGAAAAGGATTATGATTATTTTGGGGTATTTGGTAACGCTCTGAAGCAGCATGTTTTATCTCAGCATTTTCTTTATAGTGGTCCATCTTTTCTCCTGGGTACGAATTACTCTACAACTCGTTCAGGCTGAAGGACAGAGCGTTGAGACAGTCAGCCCTCTGCACGCATCAGTGCTGAAGGTAAGGAGGCAACACCTTGCACACGGACTGAACTGAGGTACCAACACAAAGGGACAATTCACTGTCACCAACAGCTTCCACCACAATTCCTTTCTGTAGAGAAAACCCCACCAGCCGCCTGACGAGCCCGGCGACGAGACATCGCCAGCAGCAACTTCAAAAGTGAATTCTGCGGCCCAGCCTGGATGGCAAACGGAGCGGGGCACCCTGTCCCTCAGCAAGAGAAGGTGGCAGGACCGCCACTTCTTCTCCTGAATGCACTGATGCGAATGCAGTTTGGCAGCGCAGGATGTATGGATGTGCAGGGCTGACTACCGGGAACGGTTGTGCTCTATTTGCTGTAACCAGGCCCGAAGTTGGACTAGATGATCTCCAGAGGTCCCTTCCAACCCTGACCATTCCCTGATTCTGTGAAAGCAGTGTTAACCCACTGCGTACAACAGCATGCGTTTGTTCTTGCAGGATGGACAGAAGGGGGAGACAACAACCGATGCCCGGAGGGACACGAATGCAGAGCTGTGTTGGTGAGACAGGAGACACCAGAAGCTTTACAGGGCAACTACAAACCATCAACATACCTCTCAAACACCAACAATCCCTCTCTCCCTCAGCCTCTAAACCTATTCATTCTCTTTCTGCTTCTCTCTCCCTCCAGTCCTCAAATGTCTCTGCAAGCTGCTGGCAGCAAAAAGAAATCAAAATAGATGCAGCAGCAACTTGGGATTGAGTGCAATGAATACAAGGCTGCAGCCCAGCAATTTTTCTGCTACTGTTAAAGCAGTAACAGGATAACACTGCAACAGATTGCGAAGGTGTATCTCTGTTGGGCACGCGAGTAGAGAGATAAATTCACATGAAAGAAAAACTCAAAATACTCCCCAAACCGTTCGAAGAACTTGTCTTTTCATCTTTTACATGGCACAGTTTGGGGATGAGGGATCAACTCCCGTGACAAATCTGAATAGCACCTAATGCAAATTAACCTCACCTTCATGGGTGTATCTAGACAGAAATACAAAATAAACAATTATATAATAATTAATTGCATTGGTTATTCAAGGGGAACAGGTATCAACATGCCTAGGTTAAACCTAGCTAAGGAAAACACCCATTAACAGAGAAATTAAGGAAGGGAGAGGCTTTCTTATTAGAGGGTACCCTGACCTTTTCATGTTTCATCCATGCTAATTATCACCCTGTGTATGGATGCGCTCCCTCACAGGATAATTCTAATGTTTATTGTCAGGGACATGCTCTTAGAAGACCACAGAGAAAGAGAAAACTTCCTTCAGTCCCCACTTATCAACAACTAAACAGAAATTTGAATATTGTTTTACCACAACTGCCTTACAAACGCCAATAATCCTTCCTTGCCAGTCTGAACACGGGAGATTTAGCCGTGACCAGAGCCGACAGCCTAGAGATTTGTGAGAGGGAGAAGCTGGTAACAAAATCCTTCACTCCTCCCTTGCAGGTACGTGGGGAGCACAGGGTGAAAGCACTGCCCTCCTCAGTCTTCACATACACAGCAACTTTCTCCATAAAACTCACTCGTGAACAAGCTGTGCAAAGTGCAAAGCACAGCTAAAACCAACAGGATAGTTACACAGCACAAACAAACAAACAAAACCCCAAACCCTGACCTAACCTGATTTTCCTCCCTCCAGGTAAACTCAGTTCATCGAGTTCCTGTCTGCAAATGGGTATTCGAGCCCCTCTTTCTCACCCCACGCTACGAATTCTCCTGATTATATATCGTATAGGGAAGGCTTTGCTACTTCTGAGGGAGAGGAGAGACAGAAAGGAATGGAGTGGAAAGACGAAGGGAGAAGATGAAATGACAGGGTCACGTATCAATGACAGGCGCCTGCCCCTCATTCGCACCAGTCAGCCCCATCACTACTTATCTGGTACCCAAAGGGTTGTCCCATCAAACACAAGGGTGACACCAGCAGGGCACCAGCACACAGACCAAAGTGCCAACAAGTGATCTGGGGACACCAGAGGCTGTTTGGTCAATGTGCAAGTGGCAGGGAAGTTGAAGACAGCTTCGTTACGGTCCTGCTGTCTGCTCTTTCGTGGTGGGTACAGGGGTAACACGGCTTTGCTGAGCAGCAGGGGCAGTACCTTTTTAACATCTGCTATCCTTTCCTTCTTAGAGGCCGGTTTTTCTTTGGTTTCAGGAGGGGTCTGCTGGGATTTTGAACCCGTTGATTCACTTTCGGATTCAGACTGACTTTCAGAGGACTCCGAGCTGCTGTTTGACTCGCTGCCCTGCTCGCTGCCCTGCTCGCTTTCAGACTGGCTTGCAGAGTCAGAGCCAGAGGCTTCTTCGGATGCCGAGTGACTGATGGTAGAGAAAGAAGAGATTACATTTTAACTGTACTGTCACAGCTTTGAAATACGCAGCGAGCAAACCTGAGCCATGTCCAAGCTATAACGATAGCCTTGGAATAACCTAAACGCAAGCGTGAACCTCGTGGTCCCAAAATGCAGATGTAATTCCTTCCCAGGACAGGCACTGAACGCAGAGGCAAGACTGCAGGCTCCAAATCCCTGTACAGTATCTCCTGCTCATCCCCCAAAACAAAAAGAGTGGTGGTATCGTGAAGAGAAGCATTAACGATACCACCAGCACAGGTCCTCCAGCGAGCATCTGGCTCGCTTAGAGCGAGCAAGAATACGGTATATCGAGAGCCGGAGTGTCCAGAGCCCATCCTGCTATATTAAAGACAAGCAGCTGCTCCGGCACGGCTCTCCCCTACACCCTAGTACAGCCAGCGGCTCAAAAATCCAACATCCAATATCTGAGAGAGGCCAGCACCAAATACTGTATGCATAATACTATATAAAATAGTAAATATCACGTTTCTTGCAAAAGTAATGAATTCAGCAGCAGAAAGGAGCTCCTACAGGCACGTTACGGGGGGAGTTCCCGTTTAAAGGATTACCCCAATGCTGTGCAGACTGTGTTTCTTAAGTAGCCAATAACGGGGGAGAAAAACATCAAACAGGTGTATTTCTCTTCTTTTTTTTTCCCTCCCTTTACATTCAGACGGGTTAAGATACAGAACATTCACTTAAATGCAGGCTCCTCAACAAAACAAAGAGTGGTCAAACCACTTTAGGTGGCCAAAATACTCAAATACCTTTGCCCAATCACTCCACCACCTATTTTTCATTTAAAACCCAATTAAAGAAAGCAGAAAACACATTACAACATATGACACAGGGGCTAGAAAGGCAGCATTGCGAATCCCACTCTGTCACAAACCAAACTGCAGTGCGGCAATAAGGAGACCGCAAACTTTCTGCACAAGGAGCATCTCTTTCCAAGTCGGCTCCTGATCTGCAGCGAGATGTTTCTGTAATATTTAAGGGCGAGCTGCAGGTGTAACATCATGAAAAGAAAAGTCAGGATAACTTTGCAGAGGGAAACCAGATTTTTTAATTTTTCTCCTTTGGTACAAAACTACAAAAGTAACAAGATACATGGAAGGCTCTGCTCAGATTTCACAACTTGAGAAAAGAAATAATACAGAGACAAAAAATTAAAAGCACAGGTACAATTACATACACTTCTCCAGAAATCAATGCACGCTATAGAGACGCGATCGCTGGAGTCAGCTGCTATTCATAGGTACATCCACAAACAATTAGGGCTAATTTACACCACAGAAATAAGTTTTCCATTCTCGGATAAAAATCCTTAAGCTATTCGTGAGATGTAAAGGGCTGACCCCAGCAGCTGCGTGCCGGCCGGGCTGCCGTCTCCGCCGGAGCGGGCAGAGGGCAGCAGCCGAGCGCGGCGGGGGCCCGGTCCCCACACCCCTGCGGCAGTCAGG